CCGGCGGGGCTGGTGCAGAGGCCCCGCAGATGAAAGGCTGCGCTCGCAGGCGTGCCCCGCGCAGGCAGGTCCTGTCCCCCCCACATTCCCCCCGCGGGTGCACATGTCAGAGTTCACAGACCTGGCTGCTGCCTTTTACAACACTGAGCTGTAAAAGAGCGGATATTAAACCCGTATAATGGATCCAGCTCCAAGGAGAGGTTAAATTTCCCAGTGAAACGAAGGTATTTGCCCTGAACTGGGAAAAGACACCCCCCCAGCACCCATGCTGGGAAACCCGGGGAGCCGTCAGAGACTGGCGGTAAACTCTGCCCCCAGCCTCGCACCTGGCATCGGTCGCCGCGGGGGCACATGTGCGCGACACGCTGCTGCCAGACAGGGCTCGGCCCGCCAGCCCCGTTGGGTCCCTGACCCCGGGAGCCCCCGGAGAGTGAGCGACCGGAGCGAAAGCACTTGCCTTCGGACCGAGCCGGGCCTGAGCCGGGTGTCCGCCACTGCTGCCACGGGGCCTCTGCCGCCTGCCCGGACCGCTGGACCGTAGGGCTCAGGGCGGATGAGGGACAGGGGTGCTCCGGTAATACGGGTCGTGCTAGAGCCAGGCGAGCAGCAGCGAGAGCCGGGGACTTGGTCAGGCCAAGGCGCAGCCCTTATCACCAGCGCAGCCCTTATCACAGGGGCAGCCACTGCGCGTCGTACCCGGCTCCGTAGGAGCCGCGGGGACAGCGCGGAGCCGCAGCGGGGGCCTGGCGGCGGAACGGCTCCGCGCCGGAGCAGCTCCACCCCGCAGGGCCTTGGTGCCGGCGCAGGTCCTGCGACTCCGTCGGGCGGGCGGGGAGCTTAAGATCTCCATTCTCTGAAGCCGCCCGGCCGGGCTCTCCGCCGGCGGAGGGTATGCGAAGCCCGAGCCTGTCTGCCGCGCTGCCCTCAAAAATCTATTTAGGGAAGATGAAGGCGCATGCAAATGCGTGGCGCCTCCTCGCCTATGCCTTTAATCATGGTAAATTGGCTCCCGTTCCTCCAGGCCCCCCGAAAAGGCGCACGGGGCGGCACCGCATCGTGGCGGGGCTGGGACTCCCAGCGCCGCGCGGCACTCGCTGCTCCCCGGGGCTTTCCGGCTTTTCGGCGCGGCCCCGGCGCCCTGCCTGATCCGCCTCTCTCAGCAGTTTTCCTACCCAAATGCTGCCGTGACGGGAACAGAGTGCAGAGATAGCATCGGGCGGCCTATATCAAAGAGATCCTGCTTAATTAAAATACCGGCTCGGTGCTCGCCGCTTTTCACGCGGCGTGGTCTCCGACCGCGTTCTGCCGGATACCGCCGGCTCCACCTCCCCCATCGGCCGCTCTGGCCGGCCCCGGTCACCTGCTCCGTGAGGTCGCCGGGCGAACAGTGTTCCTTCCCGGGGCTAGGGCCCAGCCGGTCGGTGGACGGGCCGGTCCCAGTAGGGCGGCTGCGGTGCACGGGGAGGCTCCGCGTGGTTCACGAAGCATTTGTTTGCGCTACTGAGCAACAGCCCGATAATTTATTGTTATTGTTATTGGTAACTACACTTCGCAGCTCGTTCACATCCATCCTTCCGAGGAGGGGAGCGTGTGTTGGATCAGTTGCCTCCATGCGTGGCCGGCGGCGGCTCCTCCCGGGCCGGAGCCACTCCGCCGGGGCTACCGAGCCAGCGGGGACAAGTAGTGGGACTGCCCCGCACGGCGGCCGGGGGCAGAAGCCCGGTGACAGGGAGGCACCGTGCGGCGGGCGCCGCCGCCGGAGGCTCCGTCGGAGCTGTGGGCTGCAGAGCCGGTCTGGGGATCGCCCAGTTCTGGGGAGTGTGGGGAGCTCCGCGGGCAATCGGCAGCGAGTCCGCCAGAGGGGCGCTCGCCGGTCTCTGTGGCGGTGCCGAACCTCGGCAGCTGTCCGCCGTGCCAGCGGCCCCGTGCCCCGGCGCTCCCTGAGTGCTCCTGCCGAGAGCCTTTTTCCGTGCACCGATGCTTCGGCGTTCTGTTGGCGAGCGGAAAAGGTCGGGGCTTCGCAGGGCAGCGAGGTGCAGAGTCCAGCTGTGGGTGGAGAAAAACAGGACAAAGTGAGCCGGTGGTCCCCGGCTGCCTCGGTTCTCCCGCCTCGCCTCGCCCCCGAGGTGCTGCAGAGTCGGGGCCGGCGGCAGCGCACGGCGAGGCGGCAGGCCGGTCCGCCCCGCCCGGGGTCGGGAACCGCCGCCGTCTCCGCGCTGGGCAGCGCCCGGCCCGGCCGACCCTGCTCCCCTCGGCCCCACCGCTCGCCCCGGTTGACCCCGCGCCCGCGGAGCCCCGGCCGTGCCGCCGCGCGCCGGCAGGGGGCAGGCTGCGCCCGAGCCCCGCGCCCCGGGCACCGGGCCCTGCCGAGCGGGGTCAGCCGGGCCGGGCAGCGCCGTCACCGCCGCCCCGCCCGGGGGCACCCCCGCACGCGCGGGTCCGGCCGCGCACCTCGCGGGGCAGCCCCGCCGCACGGCTGGACCGCACGGCGCGCACCACACCGCGGGTCGCCCCCGCCTAACCGCGGGAGCGGGCGGTGCGCGTTGGTATCGGGAAAAATCCGCGTGCAGGCACCCGAGAATGCGCTTGGGCAGAAATGGGGCGTGCGGCAGCCAGAGTGCACAGACACGTACCCGCCGGGCCCGCACGTTTACGCGTAAAACGCTCGGCGCCACCCTGCCCTCGTGCCAAGACGCCCGCGGACCCCCGGCTCACGCGCCGCTCTGTCCCGCACATCGCCGGGGTCCCGCTGCGCTCCCCGTAGCGTGCGTGTGCACCGGGGTGGGACTGACGGGCGAGGAGCGGGGATCGGGCGGCTCGTCCCGGCGGCCGGCGATTTGGTGCAGCGGGCTCGGCGCGGCGGCTCCTCCGCGGGTTTGGCCACTGTTCGTTAAACCGGTGCTTCCTCGTCCTGCCTCTTTTGGGAAGGGCAGGATTGGGACCTGCTGCGTTTCTTGTTCGACTCTCAAAATTAACCCAAAACAAGGAGATGTGTCTTGCAAATAAACGGAGAATTCGAAGGAAGCCGCGGGGAGGTGGGGCTGTGTTAGACTGGTTTGGGTTTATTTCTGTGATGGTTTTGCGCGTGGGTGTTTTAATTGCATTTTGTTTTTCTTTAAAAGCATCATATAAACCGATATAACACCTCATCGAATTGTTCTCAGGGCAGAAGCGGGGATAACATTTACCCGGCGCAGTGTTCGTACACACACACAGCAAGAAGCAATTTGGTGTGATATTTGCGAGTAAAAACCCAGGAACAAAGCTGGAATTACTGCTGCGGCTGCGGGGCTAGGGACTCCCGCTCCGCTTCACAGTCCCGCCACTTAGAGCTGCCTTTTGGCTGGGTTTTGGGTTTTCTTCTTTTCGTTCTTCTTTTTATAACGAGAATTTACGAAAACTCTTGCGGAAACGGGGACTATAATTTTCCTCGTAATTGTGGAAGATAATTTGACGGAAGCCCTCTGTGATGGAGAACTTTGAATCCTTAAGAGAAAATAGGAAGGGAACATAAAATATTAATGCGAACGAGCAGCTTTTTCGCCGCTGATTGAACTCTGAAATTTTAGCAGCCTTTATCTTGATCTCAGAATTAAATAATCATATATTATTTTTTCAGCATTAGCGACAAAGATTTTCAGATTTGTACTCTCCAGAACAAAATCCAAATAAGCTCTATTACTGAAAACCCTTTCCAAAATATTTAACTAAAAAGTAGTCACGAATTTCTTTCAGAGATTTTTGCGTACGAAAACGGCATAAAAAGAGGCTTTATCTTAAGACCCCCAAAAAAGAAGCATTAAGTAATTCAAGTTAACACTTGCCCTGCTTATTATGTATCAATATTTTGGGAGCATTACAAAATAAACTCTTTCATTTGGCAGGGTCATGGCATATCACCGGTCACATTAAGAATCTCCGCACGGAATCCTTTCGGGATTTTCATTTCCTCAGATTTAGATCTTTAACGGTATCGGATAGAAAAAGACACCAAAACAAACAAACAGGAAAAAACCCAACAAAAACAACAAAACACAAAACAAAACCAAACCAAAAAACCAAAACGTAACTCCCTCAAAAAAACCCCAAAAAATCAAAATCGAAAGGGAAGCGGTGGCGCGGAGTCCGGCGCTCGGGGCGCACGGGTAGGCTAATGGGGATCGCTTTTCCCGTCAGTTTTGTTTCCTCAGAGGGAATCCCGGCTTGTTGAGTTCGGACAGGGCTGTCCGGCACCCACACCGGGTGTGTGAACACTCGCACTGCGCTCCGCAGTGTTCAAACATGTTAGCGGCCAACCCGAGCGAGCAGCGCTGCCACAGGAGCGGGCGCGGGGTCGCCGCCGAGGAAGCATCCGTAGCCCTCAGGCCGCTGCTCCGCCCAAGCTCTCCCGCCCGCAGCCCCGCCGCGACGGTTCGGAGAAGCCTTTCAGAGGCGCAACCCCCGCACCCCATTCCTCGTCCCCGCCGGGGCCGGTTGCGCCGCCGCCGTCCGCGGGACAGACCCGCGTCCCCGCCGGGGCCGGAGGGAGGGTCCCGCTGCCACCTGCCCGTGGCCCGGCGCTGGACGCGCGCTGCTACCTACCCCGGACAGGGCAGGAGCCAGGAGCCGCCGTCGGGCCGGGAGCGGCGCGGGGAGCGGCGCGGGGAGCGGAGCAGCCGGGGCGCCGCTCCACCGCCACCCTCGACCAAGATCGTTCTCCCCCTCCCCAGCCCGCGGGGGCGCGCCCCGGGCCCGCAGTGCCCGCGCCTCTCGGCGGCTCCGGGGTGCGCGGAGCTGTCCGCCCCGCGCCCCGGGCGCCGCCGCGCGTCGGGGGCCGCAGGGGCCCGGCGGGGCCGGGGCACTATTTGACGTCGAGGAGACGGATCACCGCGGCGCAGCGATACGGCGCGCACCAATGGAGTTCAAATGTCAGCAAGTTTGAGGAGGGGTGAGGCGCCGGGGGGTGTGTTCCTCCGCGGCGGCCCCTGCTCTAAACGGCGCGGCTCCTCGGGCCGCCGCACGGCTCAGGGGCTGGGAGCGCCGGGAGCTCCGTGCCCCGCCCGGCCGGCCGCGCCCGCGCTCCGCCCGTCCCGGCCCGCCCCGGGAGGGCCCTCTGAGCCGCGTAGGGCGTGGGTCCGGCGCTGCCTGCGAGCAGGTGACACCGCGGCTGCCCGGCGCCGTGTGCGCGGCATGTGCGCGCCCGTGTAGCGGGGCGGCCCCATGGGCGGCGGCGCCGGCTCCTGCCTCTGCCCCCCGTCTCTGGAAGCCTGGGCAGGAAACGCTCCTCATGTCTCCCTGATAAAAATAAAAGCGACTCCATCCTCCCGGCCGCAGAGTGTCCCCGCGCCCGGTTCGACGCGGGGCTGAGCCGGCCCCGCCGCCCGGCAGCGCCTCGCCCCGCCGCCCAGAGCGCCGGGCCGCGCCGCCGCCCATGGACATCGCGACGGGTCCTGAGTCCTTGGAGAGGTGCTTCCCGCGGGGCCCGCCGGACTGCGCCAAGATGCTGGACGGTATTAAAATGGAAGACCACCCCCTGCGTTCGGGGCCGGCCACGCTGGGAGTGCTGCTGGGTGAGTTGCCGGTCGCTTCTCGGCTATGCCGAAAGCGGCCCCCGCGCTCCGCTCGGTACCCGGGGCTGCGGTCCGATGGGCCTGGGCTGATGTGGGCTGTAGCCGCTCAGTCTCGGACCGGCGCCGGGCGCGGGACTGTCTCGGACGCGTGTGCGGGACGCGGTGCCGGCGGCAGCCGTCGAGCTCGATCTCGCCGAGCGGCTGGGCCGGGTTGCCCGGGACCGAGGCTGGGGAGCGGGGCCGGGCTGTGTCGGGGCTGGGAGCGGGGCCGGGTCGGGACCAGAGCTGGCACTTGACGCCGTCGTCTGCCGTTGCAGGGTCGGAGTGCCAGCACCAGGCCGTCTGCGAGGGCTGCCAGCGGCCCATCTCGGACCGGTTCCTGATGCGGGTGAACGAGTCCTCCTGGCACGAGGAGTGCCTACAGTGCGCCGCTTGCCAGCAGGCGCTTACCACCAGCTGCTACTTCCGGGACCGCAAGCTCTACTGCAAGCAGGACTACCAACAGTAAGGGCGCGGGGGGCGACGGGGGTCCCGCCGGGGCAGCCCGGCCCAGCCCGGGGTGCGCTGCGCGTTGCGAGCGTGTTCCCGATCGGGCCGAGCCCGGCGGAGCGGAGCAGCCCCGCGCCGGGCCCCACGGCTACAGGGTGGCTGCTCTGGCGAGCGGGGACCCCGGTGCAGGCGGCGCGGCGGGCACGGACGGGACCGGAGACACCAAGCCGCGGCGTCCGACGCGGGAAGGGCGCTGTCCCCCCGCCCGCCGCGGTCTGCGACCCTGTGGAGGGGATGGCGGTGGGGCGGCCCGGCCCGGGCTGCGCAGGCAGCGCCGCGCCCGGAGCCGCCCCGCGGATCCCTCCTGCCCGAGGCGAGCCCCGGCCCGCGGCCGTCCCAGCACCGCCCGGCCCGCGGAGCCCCCGCTGGCACTGCCCGGCGGCGGGGCTGGGGGCTCGGCGGGGCCGTCGGTGCGGTGCCGCGGGCCGGCCCGGCGGAGCGGCCGTCGGGCGCGGAGGAGGCGCGGCGGGGCCCGGCCGAGAGACCAGCGAAGCAGCGGGAAGAGCCCGGAGCTGAGCTCGGCACTGGCCCCGGCGCTGCCCGCTCTCTCTGTTATTCCGGCTTTATCCCCAAATGTCAGGCGCTGTCGGGAGCGGCCCCCGCCGCGGCGCGGCCCCGCGCGGGGACAGAGCCCGGCCCCGCGCCGGGCCGCCCTCCCCAGCAGAAGCCTACTTCATGCTTGTCACCGAAATTGAGGATCCTTTTTGTGCCGAGAGGGGGGCGAACATGGGCACTTCAATCACTAGGACATAATATGGCTCTGCTAGAAGTCTGGCAACAAACAAAGAACAACAACTATTGGTTTGCATCAACTTTTGTCAGGCATTCAGCAGGCTTCCAGAAAGGCCTGAAGTGGCTTAGTGGCAACAATGTGCATTTCATAGCTACAGCATGAAAATCCATCTCCATGGAAACGGGTAGTAAATGCTAACATGACATGCTGAGTATAAATATTGTGAGGGTTATAACTCTTGTATAAATGGCCCAGATAAATGTCCCCCTGTTTAGGAATTACAACAAAACACGTTATTTCATGCCGCAGCCCTCACCAACTCCCAGAGATTCCTCCATGGCCCAGGCGCTGCACATGGAATAACCCGCAGCTTGCCCGTGGGCCACTGCCATCCCACCCTCGTGAGGCAGGGAGCATGTCCACAGGCTTTACCTTTTCCTTCTACACAAAATAAACCACCCTGTGGTAGCTGTAGTTGTAGATCAGTGAAACTTCTGCCTCTGTGGGTAGTAACACCTTAGATATTTTTGTTGATTAGGAAAGAATTTAGAACAGTCTTCAGGCTACCTAAGGAAGCGTTATTTGGCAATGTAAATATTTACATTATTTGCAAAGAAATGTACCCTCCCAAGTCCCATCCTTAGTTTCTGTAAAATAAAAGATCATACTTAGAAACCTAAAAAGCAGGATCAGAGACTATTTCTTTGTAAAAACAAAAATACTTTCCTGACTGAAAATAGAAATGTTACTGCTTCAGAACTTCCCGTATTATCAAAGGTGTCCAATTGTAGAGGGGGGGGGGAAACAGAGTAACCAGGCTGGTGAACAATAAAAAGATATCAACATGTTGGCCTTTGTTGAATCCCAGCACCTAGTGTGACATGACATGCTGCCCTGCTGTGTGTGCCCCCGAGGACTGACAGCGGCAGCGGCTCACGGAAAGGGAAGGGGAGGGGAGACACGGTAAATCAGAATTTGTTTTCTCTGGGATTTTATTAGCCCAAAAGAGCAAACATGTGAAACTATGCTGACACAGATTATGCACCCTTTCAGACTTGGAGAAATATTCGTTTATGGTATCTAGAAGATAAAAATAGCTGTCCATCCATGCGAGTGGCTCTGGGCTGTGTGATGCAGAGGGTCAGTTTTATCCATCAGACTGGGGGGGGAGGGTGAAGCCATGAGCGAGCTGTTCGAGGCGGAGTGGGCACAGCCTCGGTCCTGTGCTGGAACACCGGGATGGGAAATGCCTATGTGCTCAGTGAGCACGCCTTGGGGTAGTGAGATGGAATAGGATCGGCACAGAGGAAGACAGGGATCAGTAATACCAGATACTTTTTGTCATCCTGAGTCTTATTTACAGATCTTGGGGGGGGGAGGGGGGAGAGAAAGAAAGAAAAAGAAAAGAGGGAGAATAAAGTTTACTTAAATATCTCAGTTCCTGAAATTTACTTTAAATAGATTTTTCTGTACGTAGTAATGCAATTTTAAAGGTCAGATTTCTCCAGAACTCCCAGGACTATAATCAAGCACTGTGTGTATATCTTTGGGAAACTGGTGTCTCATCTTTCTAATGAAAGCAAGCTTCTGATGGGTCAGATATCAGACCTTACACCTTTCCCTGGGTCAGGAATGATTGCTGCCCATCCATGGATGAGGGCATTTCACATTAGGGGGAAGGGTGAAAACAGTTTTTGGTTTTGTGGGGGTTTTTTGTGGTTTTTTTTTGTTTTGTTTTGGTTTGGTTTGGTTTTTGTTTTTGGTTTTTTGTTTTGGTGTTTTTTTTTTTTTAATTTTTTTTTTTTAATAAAAATGTTGGCTGTGTGAAGCTACCCTGGAATGTTAGAATAAATCCTTGGGGAGGTGGATTGGTGGCCCAAGTCCATTTTGAAGTAGTCAGAGGTACCTGATAAATGTAATTTATCACAAAAATATCATTACTATGTCAATGGAACCAGTGGGACGAGCTAGGCACGTTTTTGGTCTTTTTTTAAAGAAGGAATTCAATACATTTAAGTACTTATTTTGCTAAAATTTAGGATTTTGAGGGTCAGGTGCATTTGATGACAAGGTTTTTAAGGGAAAAAGTCCAGAGCAGTACAATGGCACCAGGGAGGCTGGGTCTCGCAAGCCCAAGTCAATCAGAATCTCTTTGATTTTAGTTAGAGCTTTAACAAATTGCTGCACATTTTGAACCTTACACTTAACACTGGTGTGATTTTTTTAAAGAATTTTTTTTTTTCAGATAAAATGAGTGAACAGAGTGATTGTTTTTCAAAAATAGAAGACTTGCAATAATTGTATTTTGGCACTTTGCTTAAATTAATTTATCTATTGCACCGTTCATAATAGTGCTTCCTTCTAAAAAACGTTAGTATTTATAAATACTACAATTTTTCCCATTTGTATATTTTCATGTTTTTGTGATTGTGCTTTTCTGGTTTGTTTTTCTTTCAACTGCTCAGTCTTACGTAGCAATTTGTCCTGGTTATTGCTGATAGTAAAAAAGGATATGTTATGAAAAATAACTGTTTCGGGTTACATGTTTCATATGTAAGTAATGCATATAATTTATAGAAATATCTGTATTCCCATTCTAGCTTTGGAAATAAAGGCTGTAAAAGAGATATTTATTCAAGGGACCGGATAACAATTGCTCAGAGTAGCTATTTTGTAAGTTTTCATTAATGCATTCTAAGTTTTGCTTAGGGTGGGAGTGATAAATACTCAGGTTTTTGTTCTTTTAAATATGGCCAGGCATTGTTTTAGCATCACGTTTGAATGCTATTACAAAAGACCCACTATGTATTTCTGGTATGTTTTTGTGCTGTTCTTCATCTTTGGATTCTTTCTTGTCGGTGGCTGGGCTTGTTTTTGCTGTGCAGTCAGCACAGAGCAGCACGTCTCCCGCAGGAAGGAAAGAAAACCCCACGAAACCTCGGTGCTGTGGGGAAATCTTCCCGTCTCCAGATTTTGGGAATGCTGTCACACGAGCATAACTCTGAGGCTGATGTTTCCCAGTTGAGTTGCGTTTTATATTCAAAATACAACAAAAGCTTCCCGTCAGTGAGTGTCTCTTGGTTTTGTGACTGTTATTTTTCTCGCAGAGCGCGAGCTGTGGAATGTGGCAGGAGCCCCGTGCAGGAGGGAGCGGAGCTCCCGGATTCTGCTGCATTCTGCTGCCCGCATTCAATTGCAGTCTGCTAACGACAGGATTTGATCTGTTTTCAGTTTTCCTGTTTTATTTTTAACCGAGGAGCACCAGCCGGGCTGTTGTGCTCACGGGTGCAGTTGTGCAGCACCATGAGCTCGGCAGAATAATGTGGAGCAGGGGGTCCCTACAGCTGCCCTTGCCTTGTGCCGAAGGGGCACTGGTCCTTGTGCGTGGGTCACGAGGAGACAGCACAGAAACGGGGTGAAACTTAGAGACAGGAGTAGCCTAAGCACATGCCCTGGACGTGAAGTAATGAATAAAGTTATGTCCTCCACTAAAAATGCTTTTAAAAGTCGCTGAAATACTCTGGCATTTTTGCTGAAAATCCCACCACTCCTGCTCCATCAGTCACATCAGCCCCATCAAAAATCCTCTACGATTAGGCTTTCGTGGCACCTCGAAATAGTCCTGAAAGCGGGAGTGTTGAGGAAATGTGGCTGTTATTTCAGTCAGTGACGTCAGCGGAGTGGCCGTGCTGGGACTGAGCCCCTGCGGGTCCCCCGTGTCGGCGGCTCCGTCCCCGCGGGTGGGAATGGCACGGGCCTCAGCGGCACCTCAGCAGTGCCGGGCACCGGCCACCCGCTGGGTCGGGCTGGGCTGCCTGAGTACTAGCAGGGATCTGGGACGGGGTGTGTTTTGAGAATTTGGGGAGACATTTTGGTTTTCTACTGCAATCGTCGTAACATTGAACAAAATAATTGCAATGAAAAGATGTGATTTGCACTGATCTGTGGCAGAAAACCAAAGGGAAGATTTTTGTGCAATGTAGGCAATATGCAATTAAATTAACAGGAGTGTAATTTAAAATGCTTTATTACTAACCTGAGAAAAAAATAACCTATAGATGTGAAATACCCTACAAAAATTTCTTCACTGAGTATTATAATAAACAGGAATATTTTATATTCTGTTTAGAAGTCAGGTCTGTTATTTTTTGGCCTAAATTTTTGAAGTCCAAAGGCACATGTCACCTTTCCAACTATCGATAATATATGATAAAACAGCTGG